GTCAGCACGGAGCCTGCTTGGGATTCTCTCTCCCTCTCTCTCTCTCTGCCCCTCCCCTGCTCATGCTCGCTCTGTCTCAAAATAAATAAACTTTAAAACAATAATAATAATAATAATAATGACCCATGTTGGCCCGAGCTCTTCAAGGAGGGAGCTGGAACAGGAGAAATAACGTAGCACACGTCCCTCACACCTGTTCCCCCATCCCCCACACTGAGCAGCACCGTAATGTGCTGAGTTTCCCTGAAGGCGACTGTGGAGGCCTGCGGTGAGTTCTCCTAGGGCACAACTACATCTCCAAATCCCCAGAGCCTGACCCAGGGCCTGCCATATACTAGAGGCTCAAGAAATGGCCAATGAATGAATGAATGAGCTGTAAGAAATATCTGCAAGAAACTGTAGACAGCCCCCAATTTGAGGTACCCCACGGGTCCAGTTGGTAGGATTGCGGCCTCTCGTATAAACAGCTGGGTGGGAACGAGGGCAGGAGGCGTCAGAATAAAGAATTAGGTATGGTTCTCCCAAAGGGTGTTCTTTTTATTGAGGAGGAAGGGGAATTGAGCACGTCCCCAAGAGCTGGCCTGAAATGGCCCTACCCCTTTGGTCTCAGTGAAGAAGGGCATACATTCCGGGTGTGATGTGGGCCAGCATCCAAGGTCTCTATCGGATCCCGCGTAAGCTATCCGATGCACTGAGATAAGAGGAAAGGAAGACCAAGATTTCCCAAGATAACACTAGAGTCTGAAACAACTCCACATTCAGTAAATCCTTCATTATGAACACAATGCCTCATTACATTCTGTTCTTACCTCCCAACCCAACTCGTATTTGGTTTCTCAAATTCACACTGACTACACACATGAGCTACGAAATTGGAATCATTTTAATTACTGAAGTTCAAGAAAGCTTCAAGAAAGTTGGTTAACAGATGAAAAACGTGACTCTGCTTCAAAAATTTAGCTAATTCAAGAACGTCCCGACAGACTGCTTTTCCAGAGACGTTCAATTCTGAGTAGAGATGAAGGGGGGGGGGGCAAAAAAATGTACAATCCTCAGGCCACCAGACTGCAAGTCTTAAGAGCTGTTCCTATAACCCAAAACTGGGTTACAGAAAATTGGGACCTACAAGAAATGTGCTTCCTCGAATCACCGAGATGCAATTTCATGATCACGGACGCCGGGTGATACTATTCCAGAAACAAATTAAACAAGGCAAACCATGGCACCTGGCAGAGGGCAGGACTTCCAGTGGCAAACACGATTTGCATATTAATTCAAATAAGGACTTCTTGCTCTAATAAGGGATACAATTTTCGCAGAATCGCTAGGCGAGACCTGCTACTGCTCACGTGTAGGGACTCGTTCGCCAATTTATTTGAAAATGAGCTCATGTGGCAAAACATAATGGGGGAAGGAAACCTTCCTAATCAATACAAAGTCACCAGTGAGCCCACAGAGGACCCAGGGCAGGCTGGTACAGCTGCTCTCTCCTCTGCTTTTCGCCTGCCACGTCTGGGGGGCCAAGTAGCTCCCTCTCGGAGTCAAGGCCTTTCTGTAACTTAATAAAGATGGGTATGTAACGCACCCTGAGTTTCAGCGGCCAGTGACTACTTTGTTCCTAACATCCTTCAGCTTCCTACCTCCCAGTGCAGAACCATCCCACCTCTCTAGAATGGAGTGGGAAAACATGGACGTATCACACCTCCTCCTACGTACTTGCAAGGGGTATGTTGTCTGTATAACCCAGAAGGGCATAGGCTAAAGACAACGCACAAGAAAGACACCTGACGCGCCCTCCCTCAGGGGCAGGAGCCAGCTTCTATCCCTTCCATGTTCAGTGTCCTTCCTGTCCCAGACACCGGGTGGCCAATGGCACGGCTCTATCCATGCCAGCTGAAATTGTGAGGATCCATGGCGACCTGAGCCCTGACCTACGGATTCTGTTAGAGACCCCGCTATGGAGTCCGGATAGGACCCCAGATCTATGTGCGACCTGTTACGATGGTGTGGAATTTTTATTCTTTCAGTACTTCTGAACCGATCAGTATCTCCTCCCACCACACTCCTCCCTCCTCCGGGACGACCCATCCTTATGATCCCCCTCGGCTGTTGTACCAGTGTTTTACGGCAACGGCATATTCCGGGGCAAATCAAGCCATCGTCTATGTTTGTCTGAAGAGGAAGCCAAGACGGTGGACCAAAGGACAGTAGGGCAGCTCTTGAAATTTGAACCTTCACGCTGGTCATCAGTTCCCAGTGTGATATTACCAATGAAAAATGCAGAAGCTTTGCCTCTTGGTCCCCACCCAACTGGTTCTTCTTACCTTTGGTTCCATTGAAATGAAACTGTGGGTTCCTCTGCTCGAGAGAACTGACCTTTTAATCGTCCTACTATGATAGAAATGGTAGTAGTCCTTCAGGGCTCCGATCTGCAAAGACACAAGGGGAAGAACAAAAAGGAGTTAATGGAGTTCAAGGGAGTCTGCTGTTTTCCTGTTTTTCATTACAACAAGAACACAAAACAAAAAAGAAAAAAGGCCCATAAATTATGCAGTTGTCTGCTATGCTTAAATGTTACTTGAACCTTGGTGATCACTTTTCAAAAGAAGGACATGTGATATGAAATGGAGTGTCCTTGAGGCAGGGACTGCGGAACTAAAGATTATAATGGGGCAGCTTAGCCTCTCTGTATCTCCCTTTTAATGTTTAATTTATATGCAGCATTTTAAGTAATTCTATATCCATTTATATCCAAATGTGGGAAAGAGAAAAAAAATCAAATAGCTATCTGGTTATAAAAACACATTGCGTTCTGTTTGCTGCGAGAAATGTACAATGAGGGACCTTGTTAGATTATTTATATCATCAATTTGAAACAAGTCCTGAGCAGTTGGTCATTCACAGAGAAAACACCACTTGGTTTGTTTCCTGACTTAAGTAGACAGTATAAATACATAGCGGTTATTCATTTACTGCAAAGCTCAAAGTCGGATGGCAGTTTCTAAAACGAGACAAAGATCACAGACCCTACCTATCGACTAAGCATCCCGTGCAAAAAAACAGTTTGGTCCATGTTATCTGCGTCCCTTCTTTAACAAATTCATCTTCCCGTTTGTGTACCCTTTGTTTAGTTAAAAAGTTAGGTCTGTTCAGGATAGCTCTGAAAACGAGTCACTGTCCACTTGAGGCAAACAAACAAAATCCCAGGCAGTCATAGTCCCTCAGCAGATTATAAGATACGGATCACATACATGGAAATTGAACAATACGCCAAACGAAGACAGAAGAGTTTGGCTCTCATTCCGGCTGACACAGCTCAGAAGTGGTTTCTTGGCTCAATCCCATGTACTCGCTATGTTTCCATTTCCATTCTTACAAAACTTGAGGTTGGACTAGTTAATTTCTAAGACCACCGCAGCTCTCCAATTCCATTCTTTGACACTGACCCCCTCCCCACCTTTTTTTTCCCCCCTTTGGGTAATTACATCCAATGTCTATTTCTCCAGAAGACCATGGCTCTGCCCTAAAAGAATGACCATCAACAAGATATTTTCCAACTGGGACAATTCAAAAGTTGGGCTTTCTTAATTAAAAAAAAAAAAAAAAAAAGTCATTGGTCCAGCTTTATTTTTCCAGATAAAAGGTTTATTTTTTTTTTTTAATTTTCTTCTTTCCATCACATTTTCAATTATCCACCACACCCCTCTAGTAGGGATGATCAACCCAACTACTGCACCATTTAAGAGTCATGCCTTCACTGGGACTTCATGCTCTAACTTAAGGTCTCTAATCATTATCAGATTTGACAATTTGAAGTCACACATTTTTAACTCACGGGGAAACTGCCCAGATGTACCCAGAAAAGATCGTGGACTCTGTCTGAAGCAGCAGCGAACAATGAGGGGGAGGGCCCAGATGCCAGCCTCAGTCTCCAAGAGTGTTTCAAGGAGGGATTTACGAGCCAATCTTAAGATTCCTGAGGACTAAGGGCAGAATTCACAATGGGCTGTGTAATCCTTTATAAGAAAATCTTAAAATCCCAAGAAGCTTAGAGCTTTCATCTCATGTAGCTTTTGTCAAGAGTGCTCCTTGGGTAAACACAGTAGTTCTTGAGGAAAGGAACAGAAAATCTTTGAGGAAGAACGTTACACAGAACCCATCGCCAGTGTGAAAAGGGTCAGTGAGTTCCAGACCACGGCCATGCAACTATAATGGAAACGCTTTGATTATAGGAAATAACTGAACTCAATTGAACTAGTAAACTCAAATATGGATGAAATATACCCTGAAAACATATTCAGATCCATTATGGCCTCGTTGGTAAAGACTGGAATCCCGGGCTTCTGTAAGGTGTACGAAGCTGGAAAACAGAACCCTTGTCCTCGCTTCGCTTGCTCTGGGATATTAGATACGTCACTTAACCGTTTTGGAGCCTTCATTCCTCAACTGTAAAGTAAGGACACAGGTGGCATAGTGGACACATACCGGAGTCAAACGGGGGGTAAAAAAAATGTTTATGGGTGAATGTGGTTATGAGGACTGAATGTAGTCACACAAGCACTGCCTGGTCAAGCCACTGCCTGACACACAGCGTCACATTACCACTCTCCCTTTCAACTTAAATATAAGTCCTACGTTCTCTCACCTCCTATCCTGCAATTAATCCCTTGCCTCTATCCCTTGGTCAGAACTCCTCTTGGTCTACCCTAGTATCACCTCTTAAATTCCCTTCCGTAATTGGCAAAAGTCAAAAGGTCTGATGATACACTCTCGGCGAGGACGTAGGCACAAATGCGGCTTGCGTAGGATTGGTCAAGAGCTAGCCCCGAGACAACTGTTTGGAGAGTCGTTTGGTGCTATCCATAAATTATAAGCTGTACCTAACCTTTGGCCCAGGCTTTCCACTTCTAAAATTTATTGGACAGATACGGCCACTTATGTCTGAGAATGGAGGTTAGAGCAAAGTTTGTAAAGCAGAACAACACAAACAACTCAACAACGAGCTATAATCCATAGGTCGAAGGTAGTAAACGGAGGGAGGGAGAAAGAGGAATGGAAGGAAGGAAGGAAGGAAAGAAAGAAAGAAGGGAGGGAGACCACAGGACCCAATTTTTGTAGACCAAAGAAGGAATCTGAATTACGTATATGCTTATGAGTAGAGGGTGTTTCAGGAAGAACACTCGAACTGCAAAGAGGGCCTTTCTTCTTCTCACCGTTTATGTGTATGCGTTATTTTTTAATGAACAGAAACGATTTAAAAATGAAAGAAATCACACAAATACATTAAAGGGCACATACTCAAATCCCACCTTCTTTTCCGGGGACGAATGTGCTCCCCAAAGTCTGTGTGCCCGGTACAAGAGCCGCGTTTATGCGGGCCATTGAATCTCTTGGGCGGTAAGCTCTATTTTGTCTCCGCCTTTCAGGGCTTCTGTTTCCTCGGGACAGTGGTGCAATGGTGTCTGGGGACTGACTGATGTCTCATTTATGGAATGCCCACCATGCACCAGGCAGCTGACCGCTCTTGTACATGTTGTCATATTTAACTTAATGCGCCCCAGGAACCCTGGGAAATAAATCTCATCCCTCTAATTGGATGAAGGAGGTCATCGAAGCTCTGCCCACGTGTATACAGCTAGCACGGTGAGGTGGGAAAACGCAAATCCCTGTTCGATGTCGCGCATCGGGGTGAACCCAGGTAGTAGGGTGCATCCTAGAGGTGGGCTCACCCCCCCCATCCTTCCGGTGAGTTCTCCTACACTGTGGAGCTAAAAAGCTAGACTCGGTGCAGCTAGGGTTCTGACGTGACTAAGGTTCTGCCAGTCAAAGACAGACCACGGCATCGTGGGGCACGTGCTCAGAGGCATTTACGTGCGTGGCCGTAGGGGTGGAAGCAGTCTCGACGTCTTGGCCGCCAGCTTTCTGCGCATCCGTGCCACCCGTCCCGTTTTCCGGACGAACTGGTAAGAGATCGTAGGAGACCTCCAGCGGCAGCAGCGGGAAGCCTCCCCGTTCCTCGGCGTTTTGTTGAGGATGAAGCGGCAACTCTTGCCAAGGTCCATTCCGTGACGTGGCTGTGGGGGAACGATTCTGAACGCGTGGCCTTCTCGACCGGTTCTGCAAGCTACTTAATAGTCTCTACCGAGATGCCTTCCCAGGTAGAACCAGTGGGTCCCATCGTAGGCTTCCTATTAACTCTTAAAACTGGACAGATCAGAACTTCTGAAAACGTAGCCAACCCCTGACACGCTCTTGTACAACTTAGAGCCCCTCCGAGTCACGTTCCTCTTGAGTCACGGGCGATGGGGCACCCGTCAGCCACAGGCCCCTGGATGACTCACTGTGTCTGTTCCCACCTCTTGTTCGAGGAGTACAGCTGCTTCTGGTCTTCTCAGAGCCACGTGCACCAGACCTCCTCTCCCAACTCTGTTTTCTACAACAGCAGCCGGAGCAACGCCCCAGAAGGCAAATTTGGCTATGCCACACGTCAGTACACCTGCCTACGTGTTGTAGGGGCTTCCCTCTGCTGTGAAAAGAAACCTTGAACGCTAACGAAGAATATAGTTTATACAGTAAAGCAGAGTAATCCTATCATAGTAACATCTATGCTCTGTCCGGAACCATTCTACGTGCTTCGCCGTGCTCGGTGAACGAAGACCATCCTCCTACTCCGACCTGCGGGGCCTGCCTAACCCGGCTCTCTGGCCACAGCATGGGTCACACGGGCTCTCAGTTCCCTGGACTCAGGCTGCACTGGCCTCTTCAGCTCCCTGTGTCAGACCTGCTGCTCCCTTGACCTGCCGGACAAGGAGCCCCCCTGCCTCCTCCCTCTCCTCCTTCATCTGTCACCCCAGGTAGAAAGTCTTTAAAACCCCCGGGCCAGGGGCGCCTGGGTGGCTCAGTTGGTTGAGCGTCCGACGTTGGCTCAGGCCATCATCTCGGGGTTCGTGGGTTCGAGGCCCACACTGGGATCCTCTGTCCTCCTCTCTCTCTGCCCCTCCCTGCGCAGGCTCACTCTATTAAAGATAAATAACTAAAGAAAAAAAAATTTTTTAAAAACAACCCCCCAGGCCAGCTAAGCTCCCACCAGCTCCCAGAATCAAAAATATACGCCCGTAGTTATACCTCGATTAGAACAATTATCTGTTCAACGTCTGTGCTCCCAACTCTATGCCTGTACGTTCCAAGGAGATGGAGACACAACCACGGTGCTTACTATTCTGTTTCCAGCTCCCAGTACACGGCTCAACACAGAATAGGTTCTCGGCAAAGACTACTGATTGACGACGTGAACATCGGAAGCCTTGAGCTGCTAACGTCGCACACGTTAGAGCTAGAGCTGATTCAAAATCTCTGGTATAACAGGACCATCAAATTAAGGCTGGTTTCAGCAGAAATAATTTCATGCCACCTTAACTGCCAAGGTTATGGTGCGGAAGGTGATGCAGGCTGAGACGTCTCTATGCTGTTTTTGTTTTTGCAAGACAACGGCTGACGAGCAGTGTGCATTAGTTCAATCATTCTCCATCATTCGAACAAAGTAATCTTTCACCTTTCAGAGGGACACACATTGTAAAATCTAAATATATAGATTTAAAAGCATGTTTGTGTCTCTTTTCTATTAATATACATGTCCCTTATTGGCAAGAATTGTGTCTTTTATATTCTTTCAACAGCACTGAGCACGCTGAGGGCATTTAATAAACATTAAGAAGAAAAATGTCATAACATGTTGGGAGTTATTCAAAAGAAAGACAGAGTATGAAAACAGAGCAGTAATGTTATCTATAAGCAGGCATTCCATCTAGCTCCTCCAGGGTAACGTAAAACAAAAGATGACTGTGTTTATCTGTCATGAAATACCAACAAGGGCTAAAACAAGAAACAATATATAACTAACAAAGGGGCATTTTATAAATAAATCAGAAACCATAGGTGTATAAGGAAGTATAAAATCAAGAGCAGAATCACCAAAGCTCAACCTTTTCCTTAATCCCACCTAAAAGGAAGGAGAAGAATTCCTTCCCTCTGGCCCCTCTCAAGCTCCTTTTCTGTGCAGTCACATACACACACTCTTCCCGGCCTAGGAGCATAACCCTATTTGACACTAAGTTGATAAATTTCATCTTTTGTTCCCAATTCTGTCAAGCATTTGTGCCTTTTCTTCTTTAGTGGAAGCCTCTCACCCTTGCTCCCAGAATTTCCCTAACGTGACCCTCTCTCAAACCAAACTGCTCTTAGAAAAGTTTAATAAACCATTTTATACTAAAGTGTAAATGACTGATAAGATTCAATGTCTTAGTTCTTCCAGGAACAACTGAATTTGATCAGAAAATCAAAACTGAAGCCAAATAAATGAGTCCGTTATATTTATAACTCTAAAAAACAAACAATGTCAGACAATGATTGGAGGGTGATTGGAGGGTTTTTTTATTTTCTGCCAACAAGAGAGAACCTTCCAGGTGTCCTTAAATGCTTATGTCACAAGTAAGCTATTGACTTCTGAGCAGAGGGCTAGGAGCCAGAAGACCCATATTTTATCATGACTTTGACCCCATTGAGCAGCTGTGCAGCCTTTCTGAATTCATTCACCACCAACAGTCTCCCCTGTGCTGTAGCTAAGATCCTCTCCAGTCTAATGACTCCAGGCATAGAGTGTGCACATTTTTTATATACTCCAGGCATACAGTTTGCAAATATTTCATACACAGTTCTAGAGGGTGAACAACCATGCTCAGGACTGAGTTGTTTCCAGGGACATGGAACTTTTCAGCGCTTAACCTGAGACAACTCCCTATCAAACCTGGTCACCCTGGTCACGAAGCAGTCACGTCAAGGACCCTGTGGTCACCTTCATGAACGCTGTCTGCCTTGTTCTCCCTCCTGCCCTCTCTAATTTACAGATTTCCCCAAATTCTGAACTCCCTTTTGAAAGGTAAGTGACCCCCATTCTACACATTTTTTTAAACAGGCAAGAATTTGAAAAGACATTTCACAAAAGGAGATATGCAAACAGCCAATGAGCATGTACAAAGATGCTCAAACGCTAATTAAAATCATAATAGTTCTGTACACACACACAAATGCCTACAGGTTAAGGACAGACAATACCATGCTCTAAGATTGTGGAACACTGTAACTCTCACCCGTAGCTAGTGGGAGTGTAAAACGGTCCAATATCTTTGGAAAGTCGTTTGGTAATTTCTCACGAAATACACGTCCTCCTCATGAACCAGACCTTCCATTTCTGGGTATTTACCCAGAAAAAAAAATGAAATTCTACTTTGAAACAAAACTGATACAGGAATGTTTACAGCAACTCTCTTAATAATGGCCCCACGCTGGAAACAATGCAACAGGTAAATGGTAACAGGTACATGGAAAATAAATTGTGGTATATCCCCATAGCGAGATGCCCAGCCATAAAAAGGAGCAAACTACTGATGTATGCAACAATGTCGATGAGTTTCCAAACCTCATGCTGATGCAGAAGAACGCTTCCTGCAGAATGCCACTGGTATGAAATCCTAGGACTATGTCAAACTATGATGACAGGAAACAGGTCAGCGACAACCTAGGCGTGGAGCTGGGACTGACTGGGAAAACCTGGAGAAATGTGGACGGTTGGGAATACTCTGTATCTTCAGGACGGGGATAATGACATCAGTGGTAAGTGCTTAGGTGAGCTGGAACCAGTTTGTCATAGGCTTACAATCCCATTTCACCTCTCCCCAACACCCTGCTCAATGACATCACACTTGTGACTTGAAATCAACAAGGACGGAAGTATTAACGTATCAGGAAAAATCGGCAAAGACTACAAAATTAGGGATTCTTTTCCTCTGGAAGAATCACTTGTTTAGTATTTATCAGCACATCACGGGGTACACAGATTTGTCAACACTCATCCGACCTCCTACAAAAATGGCTGCACTGGGGGGGGAGGGGTACGTCAATGATACGTCAACGATGTTGATTTCAGAAGTTATAAATTTCCCTCTACGGATTTCTGGTGCACTCTCTCCCATCTGCGAGATGACTTACAGGCTGGAAAACTTAAGAACCAGTTACCTGGGGCTGGAATTCACCTGTCAGCCCACATCTCTTCCCCCACTCAGGTGAGACGGCGAAGAACCAAGTGGCAAAGCCCACAGGTCTTGCTGACCAACCAACCCCTTTCCGAGGCTCCGCGTGGAAAGGCCCGAAACGTCAACGTGCTGAATTCCATTTACAGTTACAGAAACAGCAACTAGATAAACTGCTTCTCCTTCATGTAAATGTTTTCTCCGGTGCCTCTTTTGTGCTTCCCCGAGAATATTAAAACCTCTGCAATAATTTGCCTCCTGTGTTCCAGACTCTGTGACATTTAAAGTAGAACCTAAGAGAAGGTGGCCACGACTGCTTTCCCCCAAGTCACCAAGAACACGCCAACCTCAGGGTCTCTGCACTTGCTTTTCCTTCGCCTGGAATCTTCTAAATCTGACACACATCCTCTCTGCTTTCAGATCTTTGGCCAAATTCCCCTTTCGAGGGAGGCTTTCACGAACCACCTGATTTAAAACTGCCATCATGCCCTCCAGCATAGCCCGCCCCCCCTTTCTTACTTTTCCCTGTAACATTTAACACCATTAACGTACATTATTTTTATTTATCCCATTTGTTATTGGTCTTCCCCCAATGGAATATTAGCTCCATAAGGGCAGGAATTTTTTTTTATTTCACTGATAGATTCACCTTAGCTCCTCTTAACAGTGCCAGGCTTATCCACCAAATGTGTCGAATGAAGGAATGGCCCCTGTCCTTGGGGTAATCAAAGCCAGAGGGAGCATGTCTCTAAACCTTTGGGAAAGTTTCTTGCTCATTTCTTTATAACCCCTTCTGTGACAGAACATTAACATATAATGTAACATATGCTTTACGCTTACTAAATGTTGCATGAAGGAAGTCCCCACATGTTAAACGTGTCCGAGAATTGAGAATTTCCCACTCGCCAAAGTCTGCCTTTATATTTCTCAGTTCCCTCCCTTGTCCCTTCATAGTCAATGACCTCGTGGACTCACTG